ACTAGACGAGCTGCCTAATGCCGTGAATCATGTCATCTTTTTCATGCATATTTTGATCGAAATCCAACAAAGTCTACGCCAACAACATAGCATTACAAGTTACAACCACTGCAACAAAATGTCTAGTGCAAACTAGCGCCCTCGGTAGCGAGACGGTGCCTTTAGAAACGGAACAGGACTAACAGGAATGATTCTAAATCTGAACAGAATGCCGTTGCGACCCAGGATCAAAAACAGTGCAGCAGGAGACGCTGAAGTCACTGTCACGTTGACGACAGCTAATGAAGGAAGCAGAGCACCCTAATTATATGTCAATGTGACACATCGAAACCAGGCTTCTGCAGCCATCTGCAACTGAGCCATATTCGTCGCCCAATGTCAGCGGGTGGGCGCAGTCGGCGCCGTGCAGGAGACGGTGCGGCGTCCTTATTGGAGAGGCACAGCGCTCTATAGAGACGCTCCTTAGTCCTTAGACTCCATAAGAGTGATACGTGATGCCTCTGTGGTGCGAAGGGGACAGCAAGACAACGATAAAGACACCTGGGTGGTCTCGGCCTCCAAGTAATCCATTCACGGCCTTCTTCACCAAAAGACCAGCAAATGATACTCCATTGGTGCTAAAAGTTTAGGGAGGATCGGCCAAACGATGAGGCATTCATCGTTTGCTAACAAAACCTCAAGCTTGGGCCGTTCGCATCATGCACCCAAACCGGCCAGGATTGACGACAACGTTGAACTGATTGACGGACGGGTCCGCCGTCCGCATGCATCATGGGGAGCATGCACCAGCGACCAGCGAGCGAGCAGTAACCAGCGAGCAAAGCTTCAAATGGATGGTGAGCAGTGCAGGGCTGCGGAGTCGGAGTCGGAGTCGGAGTCGGTCGGAGTCGACAGTTGTGACCGGGGTCGGAGTCGGAGTCGGAGTCGATTTTAGAAACCCGAGCCGGAGTCGGAGTCGGAGTCACCGAAAATCTGTCGACTCCGCAGCCCTGCTAGGTCTGCGGAGTCGGAGTCGGGAGTTGGAGTCGGTCGGAGTCGACAATTCTGCCCGGAGTCGGAGTCGGAGTCGGAGCTGGTCTTTGAAAGCCGGAGTCGGAGTCGGAGTCGGAGTCGCCGAAAATCCATCGACTCCGCAGCCCTGAGCAGTTGACAGTGAACTCTGAACAGTCCTGCTCTCATCTCAGACGTCTGTACGAGTCCTCCCATCTTAGTCACAAATATCCAGATGAGTCCTCCCGTCCTCACCACACATGATTGCCTCGAGTCCTCCCGTCCTCGTCTCAGAAATATGTAGGGGGTCACCCCGTCCTCGACTAAGTTGTCTCAACGAATCCTCCCGTCCTCATCTCAGATGTCTGTGCCATTCCTCCTGTCCTCGGCACAGATCTCTGTCCCGACTCAGAGTCCTCCCATCCTCGACACAGAATACAAATGTCTGTCCGAGTCCTCCCGTCCTCGTCTGATATATCTGCATACGACTCCTCCCGTACTAGTCTCAAATGTCGTCCGAGTCCTTCCGTCCTTGTCTCAGACGTTTGTAAGAGTCCTCCCGTCCTTGTCTCAGATGTCTTTACAAGTCCTCCCGTCCTCGTCTCAGATGTCAGATGTCAGATGTCCCGTCCTCGGCACAGATGTCTGTAGACACGTGTTCGTCTCAGATGAGCGCCTCGGACAGGTCTGATTTCACTCATTTTAGGCGTGTAATGTGACGATGACGACCTCGCAGTAGATTGCCTTTGGAACAGGATCGGTTCGCGGTCGCCCCCGGGCCCAGGCTGCCCGTCAGCTGACTCAGTCGGCGCGCCGAGCCGTCGTTGATGACGTCACTGAGCGTGATATCCGGCCCGGCAGTGGCGGCTTCCGGACGGCGCCCGAGCCTCAGGACAGTAAGCTCGGGGCCGTGGGCCTGTGACTCCCCCGATGAAACGGGGGCTGTAGTAATCAGTGCTTTAGGTGACGTCACAAACGGGGAATTATTCACCCAAACTGGATTTCCCGAAACTTGGCGGTCTTTGTCATGAACGAACCGCCAGTGCAAACGGAATCAGAATGACTTTCGGTGCGACGCTTTTGGTCTGTGACCTTGGTTTATGATTTCCAACCATGCTATGTACCTACATCATGATTATGTAATAATTTCAACAACATTTCGGAAAATTTGTATCACACCGAAATGACCCTACTTGATAACAATGAGCACGATTCATTCACGGTTTACGAGAGGATTGCTGACTTGTTCATACGATCTTCTCATACAATGAACAGCACATTCAAAGACAGAAAACAAATGGGAATAGATTACATATACATCCAAGTGCACGTCTGACGAAATGGTCGTTTGGTCTGCAGCCAAGGCCTTCACGGGAGAGGGGGTAGCGACGAGCACCGCCATCCCCACCCCGCGCCCATCGACACCTGCTGGGTCGATAGAGCGCACCGCTTTCCACTCAACAGCTCTCAGAAATTCGACAAACACGCTCTTCTACTCACCAAGAATGTTACGAAGCACCTGAGTGTTAGGAATCCGACCTGTTGCACGGGACAATCACACTCCCCACAACGGGGCCACTCCCGCGTACTCCGGTCGGGAGGGCGAAAACGGCGCAGCGCACCAGACACGAGCGGCTCGGCGACTGGCCGGGTTTGTGCGCCGCCTAGCGGCCAGCTTTGAAAGCATAGGCTGGTTCGATAGTGGCCGCGGACCGGCGCGATGAGGGACGTTTGCTATGTACGGTACTACTCAAGGTCGCCTGGGCAGACAGTGAAACCGGTGAAACCTCGCACGCCGACCCAATATCACAAATCGAGCACCCCGGCCAGGACAAGGACTCCGCGACAGGGAGGGAGGGGATGGGAGGCCACGTTCAATGGGCTTTGAGAGTGGGTGGTAATTTCCCTTCTCGGTGAACTACCTCTGCTATCAACTGAATTTGCTTGTGGTGTTGTCATCTTGGCTCTTCTTTATTGAAATAATCATTGGATAAAGTTCAAATGTCAGTTGTGCACATCTATCTTGTCTCCTGATCCCACCATGGAGCAAGAAGGAACTGAGTGAGAAACTCGGGTCAGGTCATGCTTTAGGACGGCCATGAGACCGGCAGCGCAGAGCGGCTATCGAAGCAGTCAGAGGTCCCGTTCAGCACAGCATAGCAGAACTACGTGGGTTACGGGCACATAATCGCGTGGAATTTCCGACCTTGTCACGTTGTGCGCGGTTCAAAACTGACCTTCATAATTTCGATGAAAAAATAGCAAGACGCCTACTGCATCGAACTTCGGAGCATTTAAAACAGAACTGCTGGGATGACAATGTATTGCGACACGGTTCCGCTTTGCATCAGATGGGAGGCACTGGTACACACCATTCACTGAGGCAGGCCGGGCGGAAGACAATGTCAGCCAAATCACTAACGATGCGTAGGAAACTCAGCAAAAGTCACGCCGAGCACGATCGTTAGTTATCTCCCATAAAATTATCCTCAAGTAAAGGAATCCAAAGACACAGGCGAGCATGATGGAAGACGACATAGCATAGACGTTCAAGACACACGCACGAAATGTAAAACGTGAATCTCTTAGTATACCTCAGTAGGTTTCATTTAACGGTTCGCTGCTGTCATCGGCTGCAGCACGCAAATGAGATCAGCGTTTAACTTCTGAAGTAATCCGCGAGCCGGCTGTCATCTGATTCAATTATAAACGTCACATTTCTCCATCTCGCTCACGCGCTCATGTGCGCACGACTGGGCAACATACACATGTCAAACACCATTCAACATACGCGTGAGGTCACACAGTGGGGCAGTGCCTTTCCATGATGGTCCGCGCGGCTCTGTTTGCATTATACAACACAGACCATCATATTGGCCGAGAGCTCGGCACGAAACAAACCCTATAACGCACTTGGCACGATCGATGAGCTGTAGCCCGCTCCCGAGCAATGACACGATGACACATGCCTTTTTCAGAAAGGAAGCACGTTGTAAGAAATATATCGTCATTTAACCAACGTGCTTCCGTTAATCTCACCAGCCAGTCAAAGAGCAATCAATAGCGCTGCTCTCGGCTGGAAACCAACCACTGAGCGAATGTCTTTAAAAGGTCGCTCCGGTGAGCATCACTGCCATTCCGAAACGATGGTCCTGCGCCGAAAGGCCGCACTCAGCAATAAAAAACATTTCCAAAGTTTGCAGTCACCAGCATTGGTTCCGGGCTTGTAAAATTGATACAGTTCATATTACCGTAAATGCGTAAACGTGCACGAAAATAAAAAAAATGTCGTTGCTGTCTAGGAAAACGGCACATTTGGACACACAATCAAATGATATTCACACGAAACAATCAAAGGCACCGTAATTACTGCTATCATTCACAGAACAAGAATAAAGCAGGCAGATAATGATAAAGGACATTCTGAGGTGAAGAAAGCAATAAGGCACACGGGATGTCTAGTGATCTTCGTCATTAAAGTCAGGAAAGTCAAATTAAAGTTTGAACGCACTGTTATCTTGAACACATCAAATAGACTTAGACTCAACTACAGTGGTGAAATAACATTTATGTATGGTATTTGGGTGAAAGCCCAAAGAAGTTAAGATGAAAGAGGCTAAATGATCGCTTTCCAGTGATTTTACACAAATTGTAGCTTGGTTGTTTGAAATGTTTTCAGCTAAGATTCCAGGGCGCCTAGATTCATTGTCATTCAATCTTCTAACTCACACCGCTAAAAAAGACTGATAAAAGAAAGCGTTAAATTTTACCAAGAGGGCAACTTCCACGGGGGGAGGCCGCTGAGACAGCGGACCAATCCGTTTTCTGTTCATATTTTGACCTGTCGCCGCAAAGTCACATTCGGCTTTAAAATTTCGTAAAATGTTTCTCAACACAAATGCTAGCAATACGCTACAACATTTTTGTACTTTGTCCTTCCTATGACGTTGTTAAAAAGGATAAATGATAGAGGTAGCCGGCCGCAATGTTTACGGCCAAACTAAGCCGCCATTCCATGACGACTGATGCGGACGGGAAAAGGGGACACCAGTTTCATAATACTAATGCAATGGCCACATTGCATATGTTGCTGCATGTGCATCCGTAGCAACATCATCGACATACACAAAAATACGTTCAACAAACACTGCAATAAAGTAACGCACACAATGTTGTAGTCTCACTCGCGGGGCGACACATCAATACGGCATTGAGTTGCTTCGATTAAACGTCATCATGTTTTGCAACTCCTCCTGGCCGAATTTGAAGGAGTCTGTGTGCGCTGCCGAGCCGTCTCCTTCCGAGACGGTCGTGCCATACCCGGGGAAGCCAGCCGGCGCCATCTGCTGCTGCGGGTGCCGCTGCTGCTGCATGGCGGCCATCATGGCCTGCTGCTGCTGCTGCTGCTGCTGGACGGGCACCATGCCCGGCGTCCGCTGGTGCATCATCATCATCTGCTGGCCGCCCATCTGAGGCCGGAGGCCGGGCCGCATCGGTCGGACGGGCCCGCCGGGCATCATCATACCCGGCTGCATCCCGGCCGTCATGGGCGAGGCCGAGCCGGTCATGAACCTGACGGAACCGTCGACAGAACGTCAGCAACTGTTCGGGGCAGCGGGGATAGGGACATATCGTTAGCAAATCACTCTGAGCAGCGGGAACAGGAAAATGTCAGCAATCACTCCCGGCAGCAGTTCGTAGCATGAAAGAGCAGCTGCTCTCATAGCAAAACACCGTATCGTATAAAAGATCAAACACCGATTATTATTACTTCATTATGGAAATCAATAATTGCGGATCGTATGTACAGTTTATCAACCCGCGCCCCAGTGTCAGTCTGGATTTTCCACGACCTGGTGTGTGTGTGTGGGGGGGGGGGGGTGTTTGAACACCCCCCCCCTTCTAACTCGGCTCCTGGGCAACGTAGCGACACGCGGTAAGCGGCAATCGAAAGACCGTCAAAAATAAGGACGAAAACACTTCAGTCATTTTTTGGGTCAGGTCAAAGGTCAAGTCACCATGACCAGAGGTCACCAAAGGTAAAATGTTGACTATTTCAACATTTTGGAAACTGCCAACGGCTATCTCGGGAACCGATAGAGTTACAGCGCCGTGGAAAAGCGCATTCGATAGCCCTTTTACAGACCTTTCTGGGTAATGTTCTCAGATTTGATCTCAGGTCAACGGTTTAGCCTCCAGAGGGCAAAAACTCCAAAAATAGCCGTTTTTACGAAAATTGGTTTTTCGGCGATAACTTTTGACTCAAAAGAGCCATGGCATTGCTTTCGCCAGCATCGTGTTCCTCTCGTCGAGACGCGTCGAATGAACTATAAGTTGACATTGAAAGGTCAAATTGAAAATTTGACCTCAGGTCAAGGCCATGACCTGACCGGAAAAGGTCATGTTGCATATCAGTCGATCCGCAACGTCGAGACGAACACATCTAAGGCGTTTTCAGCGCTCTAGCACGCCTCTATCAGAAGTTATTAGCGAAAAACTGTTAGATTCTGTTCGTGACCTGAGATGACCTCGGGGACATAACGAGGGGTCACAATTGCCATTTTCCGGTTCAGTGTGTCAATTTTACCTACATCTCGATGTTTGAGAGTGTCTAGAATAGCGTTCGTGCAAAACAGACGCTTTTCAATTTTCTCCCATTGACTTATAATGGAGAGGCCGCAAAATTGACCTGACCTTAGGTCACCGATATCAAAATTCCGAGATATACATTTTATAGATACTGTTACCCTCATCAATCGCTGAAAGTTTCAAAGTGATCGGTCACTCGGTGTAGCTATGGCAGACATTGAAACTTTTTATGAGGTGAGGTCACTTCAAGTGACCTGGTGACCTGACCTTGAATGACCTTGGTCTGAAATTTTCACAACATATGTAGAATTGATGTATGATAAGGTGTACCAAAAACGGTGGCGCGCGTTTTTGAGATATCTGCGAAAAACCGGACGGGGGGGGGGGGTGTTCAAACACCCCCCACACTTGGGCGCGGGTTAATGAGTTAACGGAAAATCGCTGCAAGCCAATTGACAGGATAGTTGGGTTACTGACCTAATGGGTTTACTCCTCAGCCAGTCGAAACTCGAAAGTGTTTGATTCGTTAAAATTAAAGGGCACAAATAGTATGAGGGCCACGTAACCGCATTCAGTCCACCAAAACAACTGAGACTGACGCCTTCCCGCATTCCGCTTCGAGCTTGGTATTGCGAGTTTCAGAATCAAGGTCAGAGTTACAAAGGTCCAATGTTATTATTATTCAGAAAATAAAACATCTCCATGAAAACAGGTTTAAAAAATAAGCACAAACACGACCCCACAACTCTCTGATCTGATACGGCGATCGGTGAGGGATCGGGTACGAGAGGGGCGCCGGTTAATCACAAAGGCCGATAAAAACAAAGGTCCAGAGTGCAGGTGTTCGGTGGGCGAGCACCTGATGCCAGATATGATAAAAGATGCGGCCAGCCATGTTAATGTGGAGATGCAAGATTCGAAATGAAAGCGTTGAAGGGGAAAACTGTGCGGAGGGTAATAAAAGTCATCATCACTAAAAAAGCTACATTGGGCAGTTAATTTAAATGTGGTTTAAATGCTCCATATTAGGAACGGAAAACATCAAAGAACCAGAATTAGCATTACCATCTCTAAAGGATGTTCTATGCTTTAGCTCCGAAATATGCTATGTTGTCGATGCTGAAACTCACCTCGGCGGTACGGGGGCTCCCGGGTACATGTTGGCAGGCATGCCGGTCATGTGCTGCGCGCTCATGGGGACCGGCACCCGCTGCATGTGCGGCCCGCCGACAGCCGCTTGGTGCTGTTGCTGCTGCTGCTGCTGCATTTGCTGCATGGCCAGCTGCTGCTGCTGCTGTTGGTGATGGAGGTGATGCTGTTGCTGCTGTTGCTGCTCCTGTGGTTGAAGCATCATGCCAGGCTGCTGCTGCTGCTGCTGAGGCATCATGGGCGCCTGCTGCGGTCGCTGCATGGGCATGGTCTGCGGGCCGCGCGCCATGAGCTGCTGCTGCGCCGAGTAGCGCTGCTGCATCATCCTCTGGTGGTGTAGCTGCTGCATCTGCTGCATCTGTTGCTGCTGCTGCATTTGCTGTTGTTGCTGCATGTGCTGCAGCTGCTGTTGTTGCATTTGCTGCTGCTGCTGTTGCTGTTGCTGTTGCTGTTGCTGCTGCTGTCGGGACGCTGACATGGCCATGGGGTTCGCTGTGGGCTCCTCTTTGACGGCCAGCGGCGAGGCTGAGGCGGCCGGGTACTGGGGGCTGGGCGTGCTGGGAGTCACCAGCATACCCGGGCCCTGCTGGTGCTGGTGCTGCTGGATGAACTGAGCGCCCATTATCTGTCCGAATAGAAAATACAACTCAGATTAGGATTTGTAAAGGAAGGTAGGTACGTTTTTCGGCTACTAGTCGTTTATTGTTTTCGTTTCGAATTTTTGTCTAATCGTAAAAGCTTGAAATCATATGTTGTAAAGGAACTTTGACAGATCGGATTAACTGTGGTTGTATGACGTACATTATCAGCATTAAAAACTTCTCTCATTAGATTTAGAATGAAACAAACAAAGACAAAATAAGCGTACACATACATAATTTTCCCCTGTGGCACGTTTATTGACTCCCCGTCGATTGGAGCGGTTTTGGAAGATCGTTACGCTAGTAAGGGTTTTGCAATCACCAATGCTTCTGCTCAGAATTCGAGAAGACACGCTTGAGGGAAATTATTGCACTTTTTCTGCCTTACAGCATCAGAGAGCCAGCTATCACAACTGCAGAGGAAAGAGGGCCAAACTGTGAAGCCACCCACCTGTCGTTTCATCATGATTCGCTGCTTTAAGGTGAGTTCCGACTGCGACATCGGAGGCATGGGGCCCTGCTGACCGGCACCGGAGGCGGTCGGCCCCACAACAGCGGCGCCCGTCGGACTGGCGTTATCCGCTCCTCCGGCACCGGTGGCCCCGAACGGCGGCGGCGGCTGGCCCTCTCCTCCGTGCGACATCTGCCGCTGTGGCGCCTCCGGGTGGTCGAACGGTCGGCCCGCCGCTGACCGCGCCGGTCCCGCCGAACCCATCGCCGCGCCGGCACCTCCCGACGTGTCCACATTACCGTAGTGTCCGGGCGGCGGCGCTACAGAGCCCATGGCGGCAGAGCCGGCGGCCTCGCTCGAGCCGCTGTGCCGCTCCGCCATGCTGCGCAGGAACGTTGAGGCCGGCCCGCCGCTGTCACCACCAGAGGCGGGGACCGTGAGCGGTCGGTCCGGCGTCGCCGTCGCGGTCGCCGCAGCCGCCGCTGCCGCCGCCGAGTCCAGCTCTAACCCAGACTCCTCCTCCGTTCCCTCGATGAACCGGCTGAGGTCGCCGATATCCGGAATCTCGCCGTTCTCGTCCTCCTTGAACATGTCGTAGCCGTTCTTCAGCATGTTCTCGTAGTCGATGTCATTGGTCTCGCCGAATAAGTCGTCCATCAGCGCTGCAGTTTCGGCATTGAAGGGCGCCTTGGGAGCCGGGGCGGAGACGGCGCTGGAGGCGGTGCTGGCCATACAGGGCAGCTGCGACTTATCGGCGTCCGCGCCTGCCGGCCCCGCGCCCGAGGGACAGGCGGTGCTGGGTGGCTCCAGCTTCGGTCTTTTCGAGACCTCGGCATCTGGCTCTGCTGCCCGTTTTGCTGCCTGTGAAACACAGTTGCGGTAGGGCATTATTACGTTGGCATGCAGGCATATAGGTAAGATAGGAATATAATGATCAGACTCTGAAACAATCAATGTACACAGCATTGAAACAAATACAAAAACCTTGCCCTTAGTTTCTGACAAGCAGCCATTTTATACTTCCCAGAACAATGCTATATATCATTTTGTTCAGGCTTGCACTTTGACACAGACAGCGACTAAAGGCAGCCGTCCACTGTGCGGAACGCGTGCGGTCCGTACGGAATTTAACACAGAACCCTATGGACGCATCCGGTCCGTACGGAAATCGTGTGCGCTCCGTCCGGACCGCATCCGAACGGCAATCAGCTGTTGATTTTCCGTCAGCTCTCCGCATGCGTTTCGGATGCGGTTGCTACGGAGACGGAAGAGTGATGTCCGACGCGTTGAACTTTTCTGCGGAAAACGCATCCGGAACGTCCGGAACAGACGTGGTTTGGGGCCTATCGGAGGCAAACATTGTGAATTGTACGAAGAATTGGAACTCGATCATCATGAAGTAAGAAAAAATTATTTCCTTAGAATGGCAAGAGTATTCGCTGCTGGTTACTTGCAATATTTTATTTGGTAATAAGTGATAGGAAACATTTATTAGCTCTCCGCATCCGGACCGCATCCGGACCGCATCCGGACCGGATGCGGCCAGCGTGCGGCGACATTCCGGACGGACTCCGGACGGAATTCCGTCGCAGTGGACGGCGGCCTTAAGAGGGCAAGTTACAATACTGGGAAAGAGCATTCAGTACCAAAAAGTATTTACCTGCATTTGTAGGAAACCATTGTTTTCTTTCCTCTGTTCAGGGCGTTTCTTCTTGCCTTTAACATTAGTGAGCTTCTCCCTGAGTTTGTTGGTTTCCTGCTGTGACTGGTCGGTGAGTGACGTCTCAACATTGTCATAGTGCGACTGGTTGGTCTCATGGTGCCTCCTGAGAAACAAAGGCGCCACATGATCATTGGGAAATGTCAATACATTGAAAGGGCAATGTGTGACACAAATATGTGAGCTAAAGGGCTGCGCAGTTGGAGTCTTGGTCAGTAGGAGTCAAAAGTTCTGCCAGGGGTCAGGGTCTACATTGCATGGGTTTAACTAGGTTTAAGTTGTATTCAATGACTGTTTGCTGGAAAATGGTATGCTACTTTACTTCACTTCACTTTCATATTGTGTAATTAAAGAGAGTCAGAACTGGAGTTAGAACTGGAGTTCTAGTACTTTTTGAAGCAAGAATCAGAGCCACCCAAAATCTGTCAATTCCAAAGCCATAGAGATACTTTGTAGGGCAGAGTGAATTGGAAATTTGTATGCTCAAATGGCAACTGACATCTTCAGTCTGACTCTGACAAACCTAAGAAAGAACGGATTTTCAGAGCAACTGCAGTTGATGCATGTGCCTTCATATTGCCTCAAATATTTCAGAGAACAATTTGCTCTAACAGCTTTTCACAAAACTTTTCTCCAGTGATCAAAGCTTGTACAGAGTGATTCAAGCCTTTTAAATCCATCCTTTCTTAGGTTTGCTAGACTATAGGCACTGACTAGATGGACCCCGCACAGTTCAGTTCTATCCTACTGGACATTGTTGGAACCCAACCAGGTAAGTGAACCAGGTAAGTAAATTGGTGGGGAGGGGGCCTCCCAGACCCACTTGTGCACCCTTTTGTTCATCAACAAATGAATCTTCACTCACAATCATAAGCTAAGCAGGCAACCATATTTAGTGGTTCACCAAACAATGTTCTATCTGATAACGCAGGCCACTGACCTGAGGAGACCCATACGCCTCTGCAGCCGGGACAGCTGGCTGCTAGCTGGCGGCTGCTGAGACATAACCTCTGTGCCAGACATGGTCGCTGGGCTCATGGGCGTCTCGCCAGAACCATGCGGCAAGTCCTGCATTCACCAGTGAGACATCACTGAAAGAGGGAGGAAAAGTGGTGAAATTGTGGAAACCATGCTGGGTACTTGTTTTATTATTCTGTCTCTGGCAAAAAAAAAATTCAAGGGGTATCTACCTGATAGATCTAAGGATAATGATTTCCTAGGTGTTTGTTAACAAGTTTAAATTAGGGGTTTTTAACAATTTTACACTTGTAGCAACCTCTTGAGGAGGATAACCAGACAGTGTGATATAAATGAATTCTAGTATTCAGCTTCAATTCAATAAAAATTCATTCAGAAGACCTCACGAACTTGAAATTATTACAAATAACCACTTCGTAAAATACCCTTTGCCCAGGCTTGCCTGAAGATTATGAACAATACAAAGATAGCAAAACTGAACTCATGCTTTCTAATGGTGGCATCTAGTACCACTTGAGAAACTTTATTAATTTGGTGGTAGCTTTAAAAATCATTTACACAGCAATTTGTTTTTTAGCTATTATCCTTGCCTTTTATGTTCGATGCGCCACATTTGCCTACAAGCTTTTAACGTTTAATTACTCCCAGTCCCCTACAATAAAAGCTGATTTCTACTTTCTACACGAAAGGTTTGCGTAAAAACTGATATATAAACGCATGAGAACACCACAACACACGGCCAAGTAGCAAAACTCACCTTATAACCACAAACAAAAGCGCCAACTACTCAACTAACAAGATAACGGAAATCACGTCCGTCAAATTCGTAGGGGTTACGAGTTGATGAGACACACTGGTGTTGGACGCAAGAGCCAAGCTGCTACGCGCCCAAACCATTGACCTCTATAGTAACCTAGACGGGCGACTGCCGCGCCGCGGCCGGCACGGAATCGTTCCCGCATGGGGGCGCAGTGGCGCCACCTGCAAGTGGTCAGAAGTTCCCGGTCCCTGTAGACGGTCCATGTTAAGTGGGTAACTTTTGAAGTTGATTTTTATGAAAGATACAGCCTGCGGATGGCTGAAAAGGATTGATATGTAACTGAACATGCTTTCTCAAGATGTGATGTGTTCGATTGCCAACAGGATGGCTCGAGCCATGCAATAAAGTGCATTATTTCAAATGACCCGGACGCTGGCATGGTGCAAAGCATATCAAAACGTGGAGAGGCTCCCTGCCGTAGGTAAGGCCATGCGGGACGAGGAACGTACCCGCTTCCTACTCAGGTGGCAAAAGATGATCAATTAGCAACCGAAAGGGGGGGGGGTCGAACGGACCCCCCGGCCCCCTCCTCTGCAGTTTTTCGCAACTAACTCGCGTAAAAAGCGACCGATCGCGACGAAACTTTCAGTAACCTCGCGTAAATCAGTTTTACACCCACCCAAAAAAATTAATGACCCTGACCTAAATGACCTTTGACCTGTAATCTTCTTTTCGAGACCATATGTTTGGCCGGCAGATCGCGATTTGGCAATGTCGGCTCGCATTAGCCGCGCGTTTGCAGTCTTTTCGTAGTTTCAAGCGTTCAAACATGTGATAAAATGCTGCTCCCGTGCATTAGGGTGGGTGTCAAGGTCACCTGAAGGTCAGGTCAGGTCATTGACCTTTGATGACCTCGGTTCACTTTTTCGAGTTTTACATGTTTGTAGGCTAGTTTTGGAGCTGATTTTCGAATTTAGCAACCATTTTAACGTTAACGAAGTAGTTTTGGTGCCTTTGTAACATGTTACGAAGCTGTCAGAGGCGGTTGACACCTATAACGAATACCCGGCAGGATCCCTACTGGTTGACCTGACCTGACCCGACCTGGCCTAAATGCATCCAGACATCATCTGTGATCAAAACGAACATGATATTCGTGATCAGCACCCCGAAAACCTCATAGAAGCGACACTTAACGACGTTCTAACAGGTCCCGATTTTCCCGACTCTTGGGTCATTGGCCTGCCCTGGAAGGTCAACCAATGACCTAGGACCTTAAAATTGGGTATTATCGGTTTCTTCTCGTCTACTTGCAATTCCATCCCTGATAGTCTGCCAGTGCTTATATAGATCACCATCGATCTGGAATGATCATCTTATCGGCTTCCTCTCGTCTACTTGCAATTCCATCCCTGATAGTCTGCTAGTGCTTATATAAATCATCGTCGAATCTTTTCACTTTTGCCACCTAAGTAGAAAGAGCAAGTACGTTCCTGGTACTGCATGGCCTTACCTACGGCAGGGAGCCTCTCTACGCTTCGATATGCTATGCACTGCCAGCGTCCGGGTCATCTGAAATAATGCACTTGATTACATGGCTCGAGCCATCCTGTTGGCAATCGAAGACATCCACGCCTAAAGAAAGCATGTTCAGTTATATAACAATCCCTTTCAGCCATCCGCATGCTGTATCTGACATAAAAATCGACTTCAAAAGTTACCCACGTAACATGGACCGTCTACGGGGACCGGGAACTTCTGACCACTTGCAGGTGGCGCCACTGCGCCCCCATGCGGGAACAACTGCAGCGCGGCAGTCGCCCGTCTAGGTTACTATAGAGGTCAATGGCCCAAACCCAGAACAACGAGACACACTGGTTTGCATGTTCAATCTGAGAATCGATGCAATATAAAATTCAACCGTCTATTAAATGCCAAAGTATGAAAATCAATTGATAATATGCAATGAAAAGTGTTATAGAAACATAAATAGAATGAAAGATTCATGAAAAGCACAGTTTACACTTTCAAGGTCATATGACGTCATCAAAGGTCGTAGGCAGTTTTCCTAATTCCACGGTGACTTATCCTGGCTTTTCTGCAATTTTCTGCACAACCATGTAAACGAAACTACCATGTAAACGAAGCTACCTGTGAGAATCTTGCACGAAACCAGCCCGAATGCGTCCATCGTCGCAATGAAGATCTATTGTAAAGCCGTAGGGCCAAAGGGAAAATAGATAGACCACCACTTCGGCAATTCGTCCGATCACTCATTTTCTTTAGCATCCATCAACCGTTCTCGCGTATCCTATCACCTTCGCATCAGTCTCCGTACCCACACCAATGAGAATCGCCTTTATGCATTAACGGGGCATCAACCACTGAAAGAATTCACTGAATCCATGTATTGACAATTGTAATGTTCTAATCAAACATGTCTCAACGACATTATCAAATACACGCAGTGTTGGCCGGAAATGTCGGATACAGAGCGTAGTTCAGAATGCCAGTGCAGCTAAGAGATACAGAACATATCGCACGCTTACTTGCGCGGCAGGTTGTATTTCACGTACGGCACGTCCAGGTCCTCCCCGTCAGTGTCGTTACACACCATCTCCAAGACAAGCGCGCGCACGTGAGGCTCAATCTCCTTTTTGGACACGGAGCGAACCACGTCCGACAGTTTCATCGCCATGCGTTCGGTGCGCTTAGCAGCCGGCATGAAGAACGAGTACAGCATGGACACATTCTGGCTTAGCATGGAAATCTCCAGCTTGTGCTTCTCCTGGAAGTAGTCGATGAACTCCTTGAGAGTCATCTCGCCGTCCACGTCGAAGCGGTCCCAGAGGGTCCACTCGTTCTCGTAGTACTTGTTCTTGGGGCACGGGATGGGTTCGCTGAAGGCGATGAACGGCAGGGCCAGGTTGGCGAACGCGTTCTTGTAGAGCTCCAGCTTGCTGTGGCCCTGCGCCAGTTTAATCAGCTCCAGACAGACGAGGCCGGACACGAGCGCCGTGGTGGTGGCGATCGCCGGAATGATGCTGCCCGCCACGCGCTTCGTCTCCTGCCGGTCCGCCGGGCTGATGCCGTAGTTTTCGGCGCGAAGGTTTGAACACGCCACGACGAAGTCGATGTGGAAGTTAGTGTCGTCATCCTTCTCGAACTCGGCGGGGGTGACGGTGAGCGGTCGCAGCGCGTCGGCCGGCGGCAGTTCGGCGCGCAGCTTCTGCAGCAGGTCGCCGTCCAGCTGGCCCGTCATCGCCTCGGCCTCGGCCTCCGTGGTGGCGATACGGACGCCCGACTGCGGCGTGAACTCGGGCACCTTCACCTGGCGCACCAGCGAGACAATCGCCGAGCGGTCGCGGCACTGCGGCAGGCCGTACACGGCCGCCTTCAGGTTGGCCGCCGCCACGATGTAGTCTACGTGCAGTGCGTTCTCTGCGTCGAACTCGATCGGGTGCGGGCAGCGCTTGGGAGGCGACCAGAACGGCGTGCCGCTGCTGGTCACCTGGTCGGCGGGGAAGTTGAACAGCAGCTGACGAATCTGGTTGCTGAACTGCTCCTGGAAGTGGCGACGCGCCCAGGCCACACAGTCATCAAATGACTGCGGCCTGTCGTCCACCAGGCATCGTTTCACGGCGTCCAGGGTCTCCAGCGGCTGCGATCCGGGCAGCTTCAGCGCCTTCTCCACGAACTTGGGGTCGGTCAGGTAGAGTGCGGCACTCTCGGCGCTGCCGCGGAACGAGCCTTCGAACATGTCGCGAGCCCATTGAATGGTGTGCTCAATAGCGTTCGGGAAGTTCTTGAGCGTGCAGATGGGGATGCTCTTCTCCTGCGGGTCCTGGGAGGACGAGTAGGACTCGGTCAGGTGCGGCAGCACCACCTGCACGTTGCCCTTGGTGCCCAGCGTGCCCGACTCGAGCAGCGGCTTGCGGTAGTAGACACAGCGACGGTCCATGTATATACGAGCCTGGACGTTGTCCAGGGCGTTAGCGACGCCATCGAGCGACTCGAAGAAGTCGTCATCGAACACAGCCTCGGTCTCTGGTCCCACGCGGTCCAGCTTGTGTATCACGTTTATCTGCGGAAGAGAAAGATAGATAATTGTTAGAACACTGCCTATTCACAAAAGCGCGACAGCGTGACACTAAACTAGGACAGAGTGTACAGTGTGCAAAATTAAAGTCTGGCAAATTAAGTCAAGATCCGAATCTATTGCAACAGGTGCAGCCATGGCAAACGACAAATGGCAAAGGTGACATAGGCGAGAGTGGACCCAGTGACAAACATTGAAAGTACAGACGCATGCATTTAACATGACGGTGATCGATGCATAAGTAAGACGTCTGCACCAACGACCACGCCAACACGTCCTGCTGAGGCGCCCTGCCCTCATGACCTATCGATTCCGAGTGCTGGACACAATACAACCGACAATAGAGGACGTGCGCAGCGACAAGCAGTGGCGGCCCTGGGACCCGCCTTCATCACCCTCTAGAGGCGATTGGCTACACCGTAGGCCGGAGGTAGAAGACAACAATAACCACGAGTCACCTCCGACACAAGAGCGGCCGGTGACCCTTCAGCGGATCCACAAAAGGCAATGGTACTCAGTGTCACCACTGTCTATCAGAGAGCGACCTATTTCGTCAGGAGCTGTGAGAGGAGAGCGACTCAACTGCTTGGATCCATCCCACCCGCAGATCAGCCACGGGTTAGTAGCAGCTGTAATTATTGAGTGGTTTCACCTTATCATTCGTAACATCGATTGACGACGGCTGAAGTCTGCTTAATTAAGGCTGAAAGAAGAAACTGCTCGGCCCAGAGATCGAGCAAGACCCATATAGTTATGTCGTCGTCATCAGCGCTGACTCATTCTGCACAGCGACCCGCTGCGACGCCGACGCCCCCTGCACATATGGATGACGTGGAAACTGATGAGAAGCATGAGGGGAAATACCACTGTATCTTGAACTGTTCCAATGTGTAAACGACTGTGGGGAGAGGAACGAGGTCTGGTGCACCGATGAGCGTTCCTCTTGGTAGCCGCTTTCAGGGTCTGCCAAAACCGCTGAAACTGCCCTGTGGGGCTCAGTAATGGTCAAATGATCCAGCAGCAGCAGCCAGCAACAACAATTAAGTCAAAAATGGCATGTTTTATGCTGTACGAAATAATTCGCTAGGTCATCAAATGTCAATTGATTTAAGTATGACACACATTTATTGTACACGTAATTTACAGGCTAGATGCATATCGAAGCACAGGACATGAGTCAGATAAATAACACAATGATAGACATCAGCGATGCATCAGTGGGATGCCATCAGCAAATCAACAGACAATTTTACCTTCGGGTTCATGACTTTGACGGCCTCGGCGGCGCAGGCCGATTTGGCCTTCCCCACGTGCTCCTTGTGGAACAAAAATTGCCGGTTCAGGTTGGACTTCTCGATCAGGTCCATGTCTGTGAGGATGACGTGGCCCGACCCTGCGAACGGAGGACGAAACAGGTCAGAATATGACCAGCTAACGACAGCATGCACACTGCAAGTCAACACTTGGCACACGTCAAGACTGGTCCGCCACTAGTGCAATCGGACAGTCCGCTATATATGAGCGTGTGCGGACCGCGTGAAAACGGAACCTCCCAGCCATTGATTCATCCCAGCAGTCGCGAATTTTACTTTTCAAAAGTGGTAAGCCAACCTTCTGGATAACATTGCCCCGGTTACAGTGGTGTTGAAACACGAGCCAGCAGCGGTCATTTCACTGTTTTGAGAGCAAAATTAACTACTCGTCATTTTAACGTGCCAGGACTTAGCTCGTATCGTACTTTATTAATTGCGTCAAAAAGGTGGTCATAACGATAATTCATACTTTAAGTACTACCTTTACTAATCAAATCAACAACGGACGTTGACTGATTCACGACTGAAATTAGGACAAATAGAGTTGATGCTAATCGTTTTGGCTGAAGTTGTACTTAATGAAAGAATCCTGGATTCATCAGCATAAACGCACACGCTGAGATCTCTCACCTGTGCCCACGCCGAGCATGGCCATGTTCTTGAGCAGCTCGCAGCCGATGGCTCCGGCGCCGACCACGAAGTACTTGAGGTCGGCCAGCCTCTGCTGGAGCCGGCGACCAAACACGGCGATCTGCCGGTCGTACCGGGAACCGGACGGAGCGCACTCGGCCTCCGTGAGCACACTGCGGTCCTCGGGCAGACACTCGACGGCGTCAAAGTACAGCCACTGGCGGATCGGCATGAACTTGCCCGAGCAGGCCTTCATCACCTCCTGGGCCACGATGCTGCCGATGACGCCCTGCACGGGACACACGTCACCGGAGCTCACGGCCGCGAACGTCTTCAGCAGCGGCTCGTCGAGCTCCTCGAGCCGCGCGCTGAGCGTGCCGTTCAGCTCCCCGGCCAGCTCCAGGAAGGCCTGCTGGTCGGCGGGGGCCCACGGCGCCGGCGCGCGGCTGTGCCGCTTCTGGAACTCGTGCAGAGTCTGGAAGGCCAGGTGGTACTGACCGCTGAGGTGCAGCTTACCGAAGTCGGTGGGGATAACCTCCGGGTCCTTGATCGACTCGGAGAGTGGCTTGAACTGCACGGTGACGGGCTGCTTGACCTGGGTGACCAAACCTCCTGAGACGTACTCGGAGTAGGCCTCCGTGGAGCCGATACTGAACGTGTACGGACCTGCGGCACAACGAAACGGTAGTAAGAAAATGGGTGGGAACTCGACGCTGACGAAGATAACGCGGTACACTCCATGCGAGTAGTCGACTGCTGAGCCCCAAGGTCACGTTGAGCTGCTTTAGTTAGAAGCGGCAATTTAAGTGTACGATATTTGCACATCCGTTTGCAAAAACCAAAGCACCAGGACCACGAAAGCATTCCATAAAAAGCGTTTACACCGAAGTAAAGACAAAGAAGCAAGGTCATATTCAAAACCACAAAAAAAAACAAAGAAATATCAAATATGATTGGAAAAGTACGGCCGTAGGAGATCGGGAGTTTAGTGCTTGATTTGAGAAGCTTAAGATACAAGCGCTGCATTCGTCATCTTCCTCCTGCAACGATAAACACCTACCTGTGACCTTGATCTTGATGGGCTTGGCGTCGTTCAGCTCGGTCATGCCCTTGACCTCGGAGAAGGTGACGAGGTCGCCGTCCTCCAGGCCGTGGCGCGTCTCGTCCAGGCAGGTGACGGTGCCGTCGCGGGTGATGCCGGCCACCATGGCCGTCTGAGCACTCTCACCGGTGGCGTCTCGGACCGTGAACTCGGCGCCAAAGTCGCAGAACACCTGGCCAAAGAGGCCGCGCGTGTCGGCCACGATCAGCGCGGCGCCGTGCGCGCGGCACGCCTCGCCGATACGCAGCTGCTCGTCCAACGACGCTCCGGCCAGCACCACCACGCCGAACTGGCCTATGGTGGCCGCGTCCAGCTCTCCGGAGTGTACTGACGTGCTCACGTACGGGTTCAGCTTTGCCAGCTTCTCGAGGCAGGCGTCGGCGCGCGGGCGGCCGATGTCGGCCTCCGTGAGGAAAAACTGCGAGCTGAGATCGGCCATCTCCACGGCGCCTGGGTCGTGCAGTGTGACACTCTTCACGCCCGAGAGGATCACATTTTTGGCGATCTCCACCCCGAGGCCGCGCAGGCCCGAGATGAGGATGTTGGAGGCGGCCATCCGCTGCATGGCCTCGCGCCCGAGCACGTACAGCTGGCGCGAGTAGAGTCCCTCGTCCAGCTGGGCGGCGTCACCGGCCATGTCGGCGCCGGCGCCGCCGCTGGCCGCCACCCGGCCGTTCCCGGAGCCGTTCTGAGCAGTCATTCCCTGCCAACACAGAGGAGCGTGCGTCAGAACTCAGGGCACAAGCATACAGGCAGGATAACGCGCCTGTACAAGCAGCGTAGCGTACAGACAGGGTAACGAGCGTCAGGACATGCGTTACGCTACAGTACCGACCGCACGAACACAATACCCGTGTGCGTAGACATTTTACGTTGCAGACAATGTTAGTTATTTCACATACAATGCAACTTAAGCGGAACCGAGGCTGCAGACAGCAGAAGCATTAGACGCTAACTGTCCAACGAGGCCAAATCAATTAACAGCGCAGCAGGTCCTTCTGCACGCAGCCTTCGAGGTCGTATGGCGCAGTCGGGCGCAGTGTGTTTGATGCGAGTGCTGCACAGTGGACAGTGAATACACAAGGTGGCGTGGCCATCACACAGCATAGCAGTAGCAAAACAGGGCACTACCAGAACGAAAAAGGACAGTGTGATATTCAAATACAACTGTAAATATAGACGCTATGTAATTAATACACAAGTAAAAAGGCCTGCCAACTGAATTTCTTGGATTGTGACTTCGGTTACCGGTGTTTTTAATGATTTATAGACCGCAAAAAAAAAATTAACAAGCCCAAACAAAGAACACATAAAAATGTTTTGGTTAAAAAGTCATCACAACACTTCAAATTGAAGATCACACAAAGCACCAGACACAAAAAGTTGAGGAGCGCCAGGGCACAAAAGAACTGGCACCCAATATTTACAGCCGATATTCACACATACAAAAACAGCACATCACTGGTATATTTCCATTTGTTTCAGCTAGATTAGTGAATGTGGGGGATTATTATTGGTTTCGGTGGCCAGAACTACGCTGACAAGCAACCCACCTTGGAACAGGTAACGTTAAAATCAATAACCCTACTTCATGCCTCGGCAGCAGTCCCAGCAGTATTATCCCAGCACACCTACGTGCAAAGCCCGCGCCGGCAATACTGGTGCGATTGCAGGGAGCAGCGTGACAAGGCACAAGGTCGACCGCGGAAGATACGCAGGAGGGGAAGATAAAGTTCGTCACGGGTGTGTCACGAGTGATAGGCTGATAGCCGGGGAACTGATAGTCGGCCAGTCACCGCGATATGGAGGACCGACTGACCAGACTGCGTGCAGTGGCAGTGGCTGTTTGGGAGCGGGCGCAGCCGCCGGGACAAGGGTCAGACGCACAGAGTGGCAGACACAGCGGTATTCAGTAGAGATGGAGTTACAAACATACTTGTGATAGATTAGATTAGAACACAGCGGCGATTAATGCAGAGTCGTGGAATGTTTTGAGCAGAATCCACCCCTTGCTCGAGTCGAGGTGCTATGAAGGGAGAAGGAATAATCAAGTTATTCTAGGAAAGAGACAACACATATCTTTGGGGTTCTTGGTATTCTTATCGGTATTTCATAAGGGCGTAAGACTGCGCAAATATCAAATCGAGTATTTGACACCGTTGAGCAGACAGCGGTTCCTGATAACCCCACTAGAAATCTGTCTTTGCTGTGATTGTGATAAATGACGTCAGTTGTCAAAGAAAGTACTGAATTGTATCTCTAATAAACACTTATCTAACCATTGTAATTTCCCAAAACGACAGATTTCTCTACAAAAGCAGAACATTTGAACTGCCAGATGATGTTAGGTGACGTAAGCGCTAAATTAGATGGAGTGTAACCCCCCCCCCCCCCTCCCAGTGTAACTGGCAGATCGTTGATGCTGATTACCGGCACGGCGTAAGGAGCGTGGTCCACAGTGGCGTATCCAGGGGGGAGGCCAAGAGGCCATGGCCTCCCCCTTTGGCATCAAACATGCAAGTGGGCCCTTTGGGTTACTTGAGTGCAGTGGCGTACCCAAGGGGGGCCATGGGGGCCCTGGGGGGCGCGCTGGTTACCTGAGGGTCCCCTGGTCACCTGAGGGGTCCCTGGTTATCTGAGGGGCCCCTGGTTACCTGAGGGGCCATGGTTATCTGAGGGGCCCCTGTTATCTGAGGAGCCCCTGGTTATCTGAGGGGCCCTGGTTACCTGATTGGTCCCTGGTTATCTGAAGGACTCCTGGTTACCTGAGGGGCCCCTGGCTTCGGGGCCCTAATCACCTTAGGGCCCTGGTTATCTGAGGGGCCCCTGGATTCCTGAGGGGCCCCTGCTTACCTGAGGGCCAGGGGCCCCTGATTGCATAAGGGGCCGTGATTGCCTGAGAGCCCCTGATTATCTGAGAGGCCCCTGGTTACCAGTGGGGCCTCTTGGTATATCAGGACCCCTGGTTATCTGAGGGGCCCCTGGTTACCTGAGGGGCCTTAGTTATCTAAGAGGCCCCTAGCTACCTGAAGGGCCCCTGATCCCCTGGGTGACCCCTGGCCAGTGATCTGAAGAAACCCTGGTCACCTGAACGGCCCATGTTTACCCGGGGAGTACCTGATTATATGAAGGGCCCCTGCAATCACATAAAGGCCCTTAGTTACCCGTAGAGCCCCTGGTATAACCGTCCCCTGGTCACCTGGTGGGCCCCTGGTCAATTGAAAGACCCCTGGTCAATTGAAAGGCCCCTGGTCACCTGAGAGGCCCCTGATTACCTGAACGGCCCGTGATCACTCGGATTCAATGGTAACGCCTAAGTGATGGCCCCCACCAGTCTCTAAGCCCTAAGGCCCTCACAACGGCGCCTGCGAGGACCCCACACCAGCGCATCTGACGGCCTTTCACCGACACCTCTGCGGGACTAAAACAGGTGACTCTGAGGCGCTCGCTCGCTTCACTTCCTCATAAAATACCGTGCATTTTATGCATCTGCCAATTTTGCACATTTTCTCAGGGCTTAGACAGACAGACAGACGGACAGAGAGGCCCGTCTTCAAGGGGGGACCGGACTCACTGTGCCCAATCCCCTCATCGAAAGGCGAAAGGCCTGCTTGAGTGTCCCAAGAGAAACGACCTTCAGGGCCTCATCCAAAGTACTGGCCCAAGCATAAATAAAGTCAAACTGCGTCAAACTATCTTAACCCGCGCCCTGGTGGGGTCTGTTTATAACGCGACCTGGTGGGGGGGGGGGCTATTTTTTGCCCCCCCTCGTATCTCCGAAACTACTGGACGGATCCGCAAAATTCAAACGGCGTTCGAAAGGCCTGTCAAATTTGTCGAAGGAAACCAAATTTCATTGACCTCGGGGTCACCGATGACGTCACAGGTCAGGTCAAAGATGAAATGTTTCACCGTTCACGGGTCTTCTAGGGAATGCGCTATAACACCGAGGAAAACGCATTTTGTCGAGAATCAGCGGTAGGGCGTCAGTTGCCTAGTAGATATGTTGCTATTAGAGGTCACTAGCAATACCAGGTCAGGTCACAGGTCAGGTCACCAAGGGTCACAGGTCAGGTCACATGAGCCCAACTTTACTAAGGTTGTGTGATACATGTTTTATGGCCAATTTTTCATTTCCAACTCAATGGTGTTGGTTATAAGACTATCAGGTACGGCTTAGGTCACTTTCTGGTGAAGTTCAGGTCAAGGTCAGGTCAAGGTCAGGCCAAAAAAGGTCAAATTTTAAAGTTGATATTTTTGCATAAATTGGGTATTGATTCGATGCAGCTCGTCACGGGGAGTCTAATGGTGGTCTTTGTTTTGCGCTACGGGGTCTAGAATTGCTAAAAATTGAGTTTGAAAATTTGACGTCATCAATTTTGAACAGTTTTTTCGCTATAACTTCGCCAAAAAAGGAGGTATCAATCTCAAATTTGGTATGTGGATGGAAGGCGGTAAGGACTATCACATATATTCCGGTTTTTGCGAAATTCAAAAAACTTTTTGGATTTTTCGATTAGTATATCCAAAAAATCTATTTTTTGATTTTTGGGGGTCAAAATCCAAAAATTTCAAAAATCCGAGATAGCAGTTTTGTAGCCCTGTCCAATCTACAGCTTTTATGTCTTTATCATTTTTCTGTATTTGCAAAGCTATAGGCCTGACAGCTCTTCCCGCGTAACCCTTTTTTGGGTCGAAAACGGCAGAACATGACATCACTCTGACGTCATTTCCGGCCAACCTATCATAGCCTTTAGAAAAATTTTTGGTCACAATGTGTAAAATTGATGTCCGGGAGGGTACTGAAAGTTTGGTGACGATCGGCGCAGCCGTTCTGGAGATATATCGAAAAGTCTGGAGGGGGGGCAAAAAATAGCCCCCCCCCACCAGGGCGCGGGTTAAAATGCCATTTGATGGCCCTCATAGGCCCTCAGAGGCCAAGGCCGAGCCCCCAGAGGCTAGCGTGGGCCCTCAGAGGTCGCTTTGGCGGCCATAAAGAAGCTTAGACTCGAGCGTGGGATCCTTTGACGCTGGTGTAGAGCCCTAAGGAGCCAGCGCTCAGCCCTCTAAGGCCAGCGTGGAGCCCTCTAAGGCCATTGTGGGGTCTTCTAAGGCCAGTGTGGGGACTTGCAAGGCCAGTGTGGGACCCTCTATGTCCAGGGGCCGTCTATGTCCAGCGTGGGGTCTTTTAAGCCCAGCGACATGGGGCCTTCTTAGGTCAGATTGAGGCCATTGGCCACCGAGACTAGCTTGGGGCCCTCTGAAGACAATGTGGAGCCCTTTAAGGCCAGTATGGGACACTCTGTGACCAGCGTGAACCCTCTGAGGCCAGCGTGGGGCCATCTGTCATCTGACTTCAGACTTCAGAGGCTGGCGCTGGGTCCTCAGAAGCCAGTGCGGGCCTTCATAGGCTGACGTCGGGCCATTAGAGGCCACCTCGATGGCCTCGGCAGCTACTTTTCAGATCTTATGCATGTTTGGGTTGGGCCCCCTGAGGTATGAGTGGCCCTTAAAGGCCGGCGTGGGACCCTCAGGGGGCATCATGGGCTTCTAGAGACCGCCGTGGGTTCGAGAGCGGCATAAGGTCGTCAGACTGACTCAAAGACTCCCAAGAGCCAGCGGGGGGGGGGAGGAGGCTATGAGGTCAGCTATAGCATGGGTCTCCTGAGACCATTATGGGGCCCGGAGGCCAGCGTGGTTCAC